TGGCTGGGGCCAGGCTTGAACCCACCACCTCTGGTATACGGGACCGGCACCTTACTCCTTTGAGCCACAGACGCCACCCAAAAAAGTGAATTTTTAAATGCCAAAAATAATTCATTTGTCTCTCAGAATCCATTTGTTCCCAGAATGGGGAACTGGTTCTAGGACTCCACAAGTTTCTGATTCTCAAGTCCCTGATATAAAATGGTGTTGTATTTGCCTATAACCTACAAACATTTGCCAATATACTTTAAATCATCTGTGCTTTACTAAGAATACCTGATACCATGTAAAGGCTGTGTAGGTAGCTGTTTTTACTTATATGACTTTTTATTGCTGCATTTTTAAAAATTATTGTTTCCTGAATATTTCTGATTCATGACTGGCGGCAACAGAGGACATGGAATCTGAGGATGCAGAGGGCTGACTATTCTGTGAACCTCTACATGCTGGGGAAGACGAACTTCCCTAACAGCTAGAGGACAGCAGCACAGAGAGGTTTACCTTGAGGACAGAGGCCCAAAGGGAGTGCGGAAGCAGGAAACGCCTCTCTGCCTCCGTTTCCGGAATGCCTGTTCCACAAGTTTAGCTTCTGAGGCAGGGTCTATTCGCCAAAAAGACCCTTTCCCAGGCTCCTCCTGGGAACGTGGGACTTTAATAAAGTAACGGTTCAGAGAAAGGTTGTGTCGGATAGAATTCTGCAGGGAAGCAGAGACAGTTACCAATTACCAGCAAATCAGAAAACAGATCCCCCAACCCCAAATCTGAATGTAACAGGTGCAGGACCAGCATGGCTGGGATAGGCCGTCAGGCGGCAGAGGGCCCCTATACCAGCACTAACTGTGCTGTCCTGGGAAAGCGCAAAGCACACTGTCATTCCTCTTCTTCACAGAAAAGTGAAACGGGAAGACAAACCATGGTCTAGGGATATGTCCAGGACAAGGAAAAAACTGGGTCTTACAGAGCTCAGAGCTCAAGCTAAACAGGAAATAGGGACTTTAGAGAAATGGAGGCAAGTGTGACACGCGTCCATCATGGCTGGTATAGGAAAGGCCTCACGATCCCATAGAAAGATGAAATGCACACAGCCTCGGTCTGCGGATTACTGTATTCTCCTGCTGTGTGAAGCACACCTTAGACAGGGTTCTGACACAGCAAGTGTGACACAGAACAAAGTATTTACTAATCTTCACAGTTCTGGGCATACGAAGGAGGGAAATGAATAAAAAATACTATTGTAGACTCAATGGCACCACTGTCCCAAGGCACCTTGGATGTACTGTGTGCCATCTGTGAAAATACACCCAGCTCTTCTCTGGTCACCTTAAATGAAGTGGTGCGCCTGCTGAAGTGTCTTGTTCTCAGGGGGTTCAACTGCAGTCAGTGCTTTAGACCTCAAGCCCTCACCTGCCAGCCCTTGTCGGCAGTCCTGTAGTAGGGGTAATGTTTGGTGATATGGGCATAGATGCCACTTAGTGTCAGCTGCCGGTCATGGGCTGAGGAGATGGCCTGCACGATCAGCTGCGCGTATGAGTACGGTGGCTTCGATTCGTCCTGTGGGGCAACCGAGAGCACAGGGCTTACCAAGGGATGGTTCACAGTCCGACCTGCTATATAGAGAGGACCCTTCCAACCAGAACACATGTGTCTAGATTAAATCTATCCCAGTGACCTCCAACTATTTCATTAGTGTACTTACATTTAGCTAGGAATAGCCGCCTTTGCCTCATGGGAAGGAAAAATTGGGTTTACATTATACTTTAGTTCCGGAATTCAAATTTCTCACCTCAACAAATTGATTTTAAAACAGTTATCAGATGTAAAAGAACTAAGACACAAGTTATTAGCAAAAAGTGTCATTCCTCTCAAAGTCTGGAATTAAAGCTCTGAGGCTGTCTGTCTGCCACAGATGGAACACAGGGAAGATGGTGGGGAGCGCTGTGGTGAGACCGCACTGCCGAACGACACACAGATCACCAGCAAATGGCCCATGGGCTTCATGCAGGCACAGAAAGGGCAAAAGACGATGGCTCTGCTTGCCAGCCGCAGGCAAATTTCTCGTGGGCTATTAGGACCCGTTGCTGCGTGGACATGTTCCCTGGGCACACCTGTGCCACCTGCACTGGGTCCCTATGGTTGCTTTCGATCACCACATGTGTCAGTGAAGCTGGGGAGGGCTCAGACCTTGGGGCTGTCCCCTCCTGAGGTGTCTGCCTGCTGCTCCGAGGCGGCCTTTGCTGCAAACTCTGCTGCCAGCTGCAGGTCTGAAGTCACGTTCTGGACGAAGCGGTAACCTGAGGACCCAGCACCACGAGGACTGGCTGGGCAGGAGTTGGGGACACTGAGGAGAGAAGGACACACCATGAGTTCATGATCCTGAAAAGAGAGCTCCATAGGACACAGGATTTCAAGACCTACCTGCCTGGATGATGGCAGGGGGAGAAGAAACTCACTCCACCTCCCAGTGGTGAAGGTTTCATTACACCGCAGAGCCTCTTAGAAAGGACAGAGAAAGTGCAAGCAGAGGACAAAAGTTTAAAAGTTATAGAGAGTCACAGACAAGACTCTGGAAATGGCAAATATGTTTCATTTCAGTGGTAACTTCTGGTCTGGGGGCTGAGAACGCCATGGCCCTCGTCCTGTCACAGTGCAGGCCTGAGGCAGTGCCCAACTGGGCAGCTCTACAGGACCCAACCATGCTGGGCTGCATCTCAACTCCAGAGACACTTCCACAAGACAGTGAGCCACAAATCATGTGACTCGGGATCGTCACCAGGGGCTGCCAGCTAGTGCGGAGGTGTCCACGAGATGTCGCTATGAGCAAAGGCTATGGACATCTCTGCACAGTTACTCCTGCAGAGGCTGTGCAGTTACTCCTGCAGAGATGACAGGTGCCCGCGGAGGGCGCCATCCACCTATACATCAAGTAGGGGGTGGCGGTTGGAGCAGACGCCACAAGAGTCTCCTGGAAACGCTGCCACACAGGGAGGGGCACCTACGGCTTTTTCCAGAGCCATGACCACCAGCTCAACTTTAGTGTTTTTCACAGTCCAGTGTCTCCTTTCTCATGGGCTGCAGTGACCGTGGCACAAGGGCTGAGGTGGGGAGAGCTGGCTAGGCCCAGGTGGTGCCCATTCTCATCTCCCGTCCAACCCCATGGGAACTGTGATGTCAGGCTGCATCTGCATGTGTTGAACTGATCCATGTGCTGGAGCCTGTTTCCTCAAACTAATTAAGGCAGGCTTCAGCTGTAGCGCCATATGAATTTTGATTCTGACAATGATTTCTATTCCAAAAAGAGAATTTCAAGGAGAACACCAAGAGTAGATGCAGGAACCCCTGACCCCACCCCACAGAAGGCACTCCAACAGTCATCCGGCCACAGTAGGCACCCCTGCTCACAGTCCCGGGAGAGGCTGTGGCAAGCCTGTGTCCGTCCGCCCACAGAGAGCCCCAGCCCTTGGGATGCTCCTCAGTGCCCTGCCTCCCAGGCTGAAGCATCCAGAAAGTCAGCTCAGAACCAAGCATGTGTGTTCCTGCTTCTTCTCAGTCTTGGTGCCATTTCCTCTGCCAGGAACCACCCCCCTCCAACTGTCCCAATAGTAAGGCTTTTCCCAACCTCCACATGCAAGCCTACATGCCCACTTCCCGCACCTCACTGTGGGTGCCACCCTTCAGCTCCAGGTGGTGGCCCCGAATCCTGACTTTCCTCTGCTGGATGAGCTGGGGATGGATAGGAAAGGCAAAGAGCTGTTGAGAAACTTGTGGCAACTGATATTCGTGGTAAATTCAACTGTGGGTCATTATCCTTTTCAGTAAAGACTCCATGTTGGACAGAGGGAATTTTAAAAACTCAAAATTCATGTTCTTTTTCACTAGCTTCCCTGAGGGTGGTAGAGACAGGCGAGTCCTGTTATGTATAGGGAACTTAATAGCCATAAATTTTTCTGAATTTATTTCTGAACCCAAAACACAAACCCCAAGTTTATAAAGGAAGGTAGGGAGACAGAGAGAAAGGATTTTATAAGTAACGATCCACACACTCAAAGATCAGGTTTTTCACAGGCATCTGTTTGCATACACGGTCCAAAGCTGTGTTCCACAGGAGCGTGGCTGTGGTGGGCCAGACCTGTCACTGAGTCTACAGACAATACAGCCCCTGTAATGCACAGGGGTATTCCCTGTCCAGACCAAGCACACCTAATGCCCTGAAGATGGTGACACCTTGCTGCAGGCCACTGAGCAGAGCTGTTACTTGGAAACACACCTGACCTCCTTGACATGGTCTAGGACAGCTGGTTTAGCTTGGTCTATCTCCCGGGTGACAGGAAGACCCTCCAGTCCTATGCAGGGACTGACAAGGGGCACTCCTCTACCAGCTCTGATGGCAAATGGTGACTCTGAGCCCAGGCAGGCTACTGCACTCCTGTTCTGAGCAGTCATTTTATAAAAGATGGTAGAAAATTTATGTCTAAACCTTAGGAGGCAAAACCCAAAGAAAAGGTTGTCATTCCTGACAAAGATTTCAAATGGAAATAAAAGACAAGGCTTGGCAAAGGCTGGCTCAGGAGCAGGGCAAAAGGCCAGGGAAGCTAGTAACTACTTTCTAGAATACCAGACCTGGTTTGAGCCAACAGCGCCTCACTGGGGTGGACTCAGCCGGGACAGTGCACCATGTGGCAGTTACTGGGAGACGTAGCACCGGGAGGCTCTCCAGTGGCTCCTGGCTGAGGCACAACGTGCATTTGCTCACGCGGCTCTTCTGGCCTTCACGGTGGCTAGTTTCTCAATAACCCCCATTCAGCTGTCCTCTCTTGCTGGCCTAGCTGCGGGGCTGTGCCTGGTACTGGGCCACTCTGACGTTAAACCTCTAGCTGAGGGGGAAGCAGGAAGCAAGACAACGAATAAGCTCTGGAACATTCCAGGCTATAAAGCACTTGAATGGAGGATGGTTCCAAGGGCCCCAGGCCTTGGTGGGATGGGACATCTGAGCTCCAAAGCAATCTCCCTCACTGGGGACTACACAGAGGGTCCTCAGAGGCCATAAGGGAAAACCGATCAAGAAATTCAATGTCTCATGCTCAGAATTTTGTCCTACTCCACTGAAAATCTCCTGGACATTAGCAATTTAAGAAAAATTCTTTAAAAAGACAGGATAAATACCCAAGTTATCTCTTAGGGGACAGGAGAGAAAAGACAGTGGTGGTGGGGGGGGGAAGTCCCGAGGCAGGGCTGAGAACCCGAGCTCCCAGCTGCCAGGGGTGTAGAGGTGAGGATTCAGGAATGGGCACAGGAGGAGGACAATCAGCACACAGAGCAAATGTCCCCATCCTGAGCCTGGAGGTAGGACTAAACGCGGTTCAGACCAATAGTCACTGATTTGTCCTCTTTTTTTATGGAAAAACCAGTTCCAAGTCACATATCCCTTTCAGGCAAGAAAGTTGCTGGATCCTGAGCTCCCTGTTCCCACTGGGGAAACCCCCTAGTCCTTCCAAGGAGCCACGTTTGGAAGGTGCCCCAGCACCATCCACAACACACCTGGCAATGCAACTCGGACAATGGGCCAGAGCGTTGCTCAGTCACACTGTGATAAAAAATTCAAGCTGAGAAGACAAACCTGACAAGAGACCTAAAGCTACCACTGCAGTGGCGAATGGAGGCAGCCACCAGAGCCTGCGGCAAGCCTCCTCCTTAGTACCTGTGTTCCTTCCAGGTCACCCTGACACCCCCGAGCTCTGGTAAGGGCAGTGCTGCTGAAACACAAGGGGTCCCAGTCCATAAGAAGTGGTCAGGTCCTTTCCCTACCCCTAGGAGACCTAGCTAAGACCTGACTCTGCAGGGACCACAGAGACTGAGAAAGCTGCAGAGGCTGCAGTATCCTCTGTCCCCAAGGCACTGCCTGGAGCCTCCTGGGGGAGACTCACTGACAGCGCTGCAAAAGGTCCTGCCCCAGCACTGCCTAGGAGCCCCCCTCCCAATCCCATCACCTCCCGTCTCCTGCTGACCTAGGCAGCCTTTTAGGACCCCATTCTTAATGAGAGCAGCTGGCTGAGGCACACCTGTTGTTTGGGGAAAGCTTCTACCAGTCAGGTAAATAGAGCAAAACAGAATAAGCGGAAAGGAGACCCAGAGGAAGCCAGTACAAGCCCAGGAGAAGAAAAACACCTCAAAACCAAGCATGCACGGTTCATACACCCGAGGAGGCCCCATGTCTATGACAGAGTAAGAACACTACAGCAAGTACTTAGGGAGGGCAAGAAAATGCTCTTAAAAATTAAAAGAAGAAGAAAAGAAATGAAATCCAAGAAAGAAGAAGGAAAAGACTGGAGAAAATCTCCCAGAAAGTAGAGAGACAAACATGAGGAAAGGACAAGAGAGGAACAAGAGGCCATCTGACACACTGGTCCCCAGAGAGAACAAGGATGGGGGGCAGCAATGATAATTTCCCAGAATTGTGGAAACAAGTCTTCAGATCAAAAAGCTCCCATTATATGCCCAAAGGATGGCAAGAGACTGCCCAACGTCACCTAAGGTGCTACCAGGTGCAGGTACCCAGAAGCCTAGGAGCCTCACAATCGGAATGGACCAAACTCCTTAATGGCAACACTCCAAGCCAGAGAACAATTTTAAATTCTGAGGGAAAAACGTTTCTATCCTAGAACTTTCTACCCACTAACACCATCCACCTAAAATACTGATTTTCAACCAGTGTGCTGCGAAAATTTTTAATCATTAAATTATTTTCAGTTCAAAGCACAATAAGTATCTTTTTTTTTTTTTTTTTTTTTTGGAGACAGAGCCTCACACTGTCCCCCTGGGTAGAGTGCCGTGGCATCACAGCTCATAGCAACCTCTAACTCCTGGGCTCAAGTGATTCTCCTGCCTCCGCCTCCCAAGTAGCTGGGACTACAGGCGCCTGCCACAATGCCCGGCAATTTTTTTGGCTGCAGCTGTCATTGTTGTTCGGTGAGCTGGGCTGGATTCAAACCTGCCAGTTCAAGTGTATGTGGCTGGCACCTTAGCTGCTTGAGCCACAGGCATCGAGCCTATATTCTTTTTTTTTAACTTCTGTTTTTCATCAACATAATTGATGAAAAATTATGTGCCACAGAAGTTTAACTATAGGTTCAAGTATGCTATGAAATAAAAAAGGTTGAAAAACACTGATCTAGAAGGAACGAAAAATAACTATACTTTCCAAGCATGTAAAATTTTTTTGTAAAATGTACATGTCCTGTACCCTTTCCCAGGAAACGAATTGGAAGGTGTTCTCTTAAAACAAAGGAACAAATCAGAAAAGAAGAAAAAGAGGAATCAAAAAAAGAACCCTCTCTCCTCTCT